GATGAACAAGCTTGTGTTTGTGGCTGTTGTTTAAACCTAAGATTGTATAACATTGCAGATGATTAGATGAGAGTGATGAACTAGAGAGAAAATAGGGCTTTTTGCTGCCTCTGGATTAGGCACAAAATATTACAGTCATTATTAAATATATTAGCTAAATGAATTTAGAATTCTTGTAGTTTTTATTGCCTGCTATATAGAGAAAACCCTGTTTTAGCAATTGTTGTCAGTAATTGCTGATATAAAAGGAAATGTATGGGCCACGCACGGTGGCTCACAGCTAAAATCCTAGCACTTTGGGAGGCCGAGGTGGGGGGAATCACAAGGTCGGGAGTTCAAGACCAGTCTGGCCAATATGATGAAACCCCATGTACTAAAAATACAAGAACTAGCTGTGGGTGGTGGCAGGCACCTGTAGTCCCAGTTACTCAGGAGGCTGAGGCAGGAGAATCACTTGAACCCAGGAGGCAGAGGTTGCAGTGAGCCAATATCATGCCACTGCACTCCAGCCTGGGCGACAGAGCAAGACTCCATCTCAAAAAAAAAAAAAAAAAAGAAATGTATGTGCTATTTCATACCAATATATTTAATGCCAAGTGAACCTCCAGCTTATTTTGCATTCATGTACTAACTTCGTTAACCTCCTGAATTAGGCACATACATATTTTATCTCCTTTGTGGATCACTAGCTGAAAACAGAAGACAAATTTTTTTTTTTTTTTTTTTTTTTAGTGGAGACAGGGTTTCACCATCTTGGCCAGGCTGGTCTTGAACTCCTGACCTCATGATCCACCCACCACGGGCTCCCAAAGAGCTGGGATTACAGGCGTGAGCCGCCGCGCCTGCCCCAGAAGACAAATTTTTAATGCCCTTTGGAATATTCCATTTACATCATCCTTATTCTCTTGTTTGATTCCTTCACCTTAGAGTTTTTAATTGGTAATTTTTTTTTGTTGTTGTTAACAGATATGGTGCACTATGTTGCCCAGGCTGAAGTGCAGTGGCTATTCATAGGCACAATCATAGCACACTGCAGCCTTCCACTCATAGCCTCAAGCAATCATTCTGCCTCAACCTCCTATAGCTAGGACTGCAGGCACACACACCTCCACCCAGCTAGGGAAATTTTAAAGTTGCTTTGAGATAGGTGTCATGGTCTTAATCGTCAAATTATTCTATAAATTTAGTATTTTTGTATGATGGTACTCTCTTATGGGACAGACAAAAGCACGTCAGAATTAGACTTTTTCCCCTCTGTTTAGTCCATTTCCATGCTGCTGATAAAGACATGCTTGAGACCAGGCAATTTACAAAAGAAAGGTTTAATCGACTTACAGTTCCACATAGCTGGGGAGCCCTCATAATCATGGTGGAAGGTGAAAGGCACATCTCACATGGTGACAAGACAAGAGAAGAGAGTTTGTACAGAGAAACTCCCCATTTTTAAAACCATCAGATCTCGTGAGACTTATTCACTATCACAAGGACAGCGTGGGAAAGACCTGCCCCCATGATTCAGTTACCTCCTACTGAGTCCTTCCCAGAATATGTGGAAATTCAAGATGAGATTTCGGTGGGGACACAGCCAAACCATATTCCATTCCTGGCCCCTCCCAAATCTCATGTTCTTAGATTTCACACTCAATCATGGGCCAGGCACAGTGGCTCATGCCCGTAATCCCAGCACTTTGGGAGGCCAAGGTGGGAGGATCACTTGAGGTCAGGAGTTTGAGATTAGCTTGGCCAACATGGCGAAACCCCATTTTTACCAAAAATACCAAAATTAGCCAGGCTAATTTTACAGTGGGATTACAGGTGGATGCCTATAATCCCAGATATTCAGGAGGCTTAGACAGGAGAATTGCTTGAACCTGGGAGGCAGAGGTTGCAGTGAACTGAGAATGTACCACTGCACTCCAGCCTGGGTGACAGAACAAGACCCTGTCTCAAAAAAAAAAATCACTCATGCCTTCCCAACAGTCCCCCATGTCTTATTTCAGCATTAACTCAAAAGTCCACAGTCCAAAGTCTCATCTGAGACAAGGCAAGTCCCCTCCACCTATGAGCCTGTAAAATAAAAGCAAGTTAATTCGTTACTTCCTAGATACAATGGGGGTTTAGGCTTTGGGTATATTCAGCCATTCCAAATGGGAGAAATTGGCTAAAACAAAGGGGCTACAGGCCACATGCAAGTCTGAAATCCAATGGGGCAGTCAAAGCTCCAAAATGATCTTTGACTCCATGTCAAACACATCCATGTTATGCTGATGCAAGAGGTGGGTTCCCATGGGCGTGGGAAGCTCCACCCCTGTGGCTTTGCAGGATGCAGCTTCCCTCCCAGCCGCTTTCATGGGCTGGTGCTGAGTCTGCAGCTTTTCCAGGCACACAGTGCAAGCTGTCAGTGGATCTACCATTCTGGGATCTGGAGGACAGTGGCCTTCTCACAGCTACTCTAGGAGTGCTCCAGTAGGGACTCTGTCTGGGGGCTCTGAACCCACATTTTTCATTTTTGTTTTTGTTTTTTGACACAGTTTCACTGTCCAGGCTGGAGTGCAGTAGTGCAATCTTGGCTCACTGCAACCTCCACCAGGTTCAAGTAATTCTACCTCAGCCTCCCAAGTAGCTGGGTATGCACCACCACGCCTGGCTAAATATTTTGTATTTTTAGTAGAGACAGGGTTTCACCACACTGGCCAGGTTGGTCTCAAACTCCTGTCCTTAGGTGATCCACCCACCTTGGCCTCCAAAAGTGTTGGGATTACAGGAGTGAGCCACCACACCTCACCCTGACCCCACATTTTTCTTCCACACTGCTCTATCAGAGGTTCTCCATGAGTGCCCTGCCCCTGCAGCAAACTTCTGCCTGGACATCCAGGCATTTCCATACATCTTCTGAAATCTAGACAGGTTCCCAAACCTCATTTCTTGACATCTGTGCACTCGCAGGCTCAACACAACATGAAAGCTGCCAAGGGTTGAGGCTTGCACCCTCTGAAGTCACGGCCCAAGCTCTATGTTGGCCCCCTTCAGCCATGGCTGGAGTGGCTGGGACAGGGCACCAAGTGCCTAGGCTGAACACAGTACAGGGACTCTGGGCCCAGTCCCCAAAATCACATTTTTTTGAGATAGAGTCTTGCTCTGTCACCCAGGCTGGAGTGCAGTGGCACAATCTCAGCTCACTGCAACCTCCACCTCCCAGGTTCAAGTGATTCTCCTGTCTCAGCCTCCTGAGTAGCTGGGTTGACAGGCACATGCCGTGCTGACATGCCCAGGTAATTTTTGTATTTCTTGTAGAGATGGGGTTTTGCCATGTTGGCCATGCTGTTCTCGAATTCCTGACCTCAAGTGATCCACCTGCCTTGGACTCCCAAAGTGCTAAGATTACAGGTGTGAGCAACTGCACCGGCCCCAAAACCACTTTTCCTCCTAGGTCTCCAGGCTTGTGATGGGAGGGGCTGCTGTGGAGACCTCTGACTTGCTCTAGAGACATTTTTTTCCATTGTCTTGGGAACTTACATTCCACTCCTTATTGTGCAAATTTATGCAGCAGGCTTAGATTTCTCCTCAGAAAATGGAATTTTCTTTTCTATTACATTTTCAGGCTGCAAATTCTCTGAACTTTTATGCTCTGCTTCCCTTATAAAACTGAATGCCTTTAACAGCACCCAAGCCACCTTTTGAATGCTTTGCTGCTTATAAATTTCCTCTGCTAAATACCCTAAGTCATCTCTCTCAACTTCAAAGTTCCACAAATCTAGTGCAGGGCAAAATGCCTCCAGTCTCTTTGCTAAAACATAGCAATAATCTCCTTTACTCCAGTTCTCAAGTTCTTGATCTCCCTCTGAGACCACCTCAGCCTGGACTTTATTGTCCATATTGCTATCAACATTTTGGGCAAAGCCATTCAACAAGTCTCTAGGAAGTTCCAAACTTTACCACATTTTTCTGTCATCTTCTTTTTTTTTTGAGACGGAGTTTCACTCATGTTACCCAGGCTGGAGTGCAATGGCGCGATCTCGGCTCACTGCAACCTCCGCCTCCTGGGTTCAGGCAATTCTCCTGCCTCAGCCTCCTGAGTAGCTGGGATTACAGGCACGCACCACCATGCCCAGCTAATTTTTTGTATTTTTAGTAGAGGCGGGGTTTCACCATGTTGACCAGGATGGTCTCGATCTCTTGACCTCGTGATCCACCCGCCTCGGCCTCCCAAAGTGCTGGGATTACAGGCTTGAGCCACCGCGCCCAACCTTTTCTGTCATCTTCTAAGCCCTCCAAACTGTTCCAACCTCTGCGTGATACCCAGTTCCAAAGTCACTTCCACATTTTTGGATATCTTTTCAGCAGTGCCCTACCCTCCTGGTACCAATTTACTGTATTAGTCAGTTTTCATGCTGCTGATAAAGACATATCTGAGATTGGCTAATTTACAAAAAAAAAAAAAAAAAAAAAGGAAGTTTAATCAACTTACAGTTCCATGCAGCTGGGGAGGCCTCACAATCATGGCAGAAGGTAAAAGGTACATTTCACATGGCAGCAGACGAGAAGAGTGCTTGTGCAGAGAAACTCCCCTTTTCTAAAATCATCAGCCCTTATGAGACTTATTCACCGTCATGAGAACAACACAGGAAAAGACCTGCCCCCTATGATTCAGTTACCTCCCACTGGGTCCCTCCCACAACATGTGGGAATTCAGGATGAAATTTGCATGGGGACACAGCCAAACCATATCACCCTCTTTATAGTAATAGATGTTTGCAGTTATTTTAATTCAAAAGTATCTTGTTACATTTGACCTACATGTATTTATATGGTAAGACTTGAGCTAGGCTTTGTTGCTTTATTATTTAGAAAATCATGCATAATATGACAGGTTAGAATAAGAAGAATAATTCAACTTTGGTGTAATCAGAATTGTCTAAGATCTCATCAGATTCTCCTTTTAACATGATGTAATGCTTGTGGTTAATCCAACCTATACATCCTAACTGGCCTAGATCCACTGTTAGTGTTTTTTTAATACATCAGTAGGATTTTAACTATAGGCCTGTTAAAATTTGATGTAGACTTACCAAATATCTTTTAAATCAGTGTAGTGTCATTTTTGCTCTAGAAAACTGCAAGAATGGGCTTCCATGAAGTATAATTTTGAATTAGAAAGTGCATTTCCTTCAGACCATCAAAACCAATTTTTGTCTTTCCATAATTTCATTCAACGATTTTTGAAAATTCAGGTTTCTTTAGTGTCTTAAAGCCACCATTTGAATCCCATCATATTCCCTTTTGATTTTCAGTTTAGAGGTTTTTTTAAAAACAAATGTTCAAGACAAACCCATGAGAGTTTAAGGTCACAGGCTGATTTGCAGTGAGATTCTAGATCCATATTGTAGTTCAGGTTAATTAGAATAAACATGGTGCTTAGATTTTAGAGACCCACACCAAGAAGTGAAAGTCATCTTTGTTAAAGTATTCAAATATACAATATACAGAATATTAAAATGGCAAATTGAGGTAGGAAATTAATGCATGAGATGTGCCTGTAACATAAATCTTTTAAGAAATATATATAATATTTCTATATAAATGAACATCATCCTTCATTTAATAGGGCTATTGTTGCTTGAAACATTTCTGGAACTGCCTTTAGAGTGTGTAATAAATGTTCTTTTGAATAGCCTCAGTGGTAGGAGATGCTTTCCTTTCAGTGTTTTGAATAGTCAGTAAATGTTTTTTATCCACACCTACTGAATAGAGATGAGTGGCCAGGCTGGATTGGAAGAAGATGCACAACTAAAACCGGCATGTCACAGAACCAAATTTAAAGCTGCAAGCCTAGCCTTGGAAATAAAAGTAAGTAATCAAATTGTCTTTAACATGACTTCAAATATTTCTTTCTGGTATATTTGTGAAAACAGTAATTTCACAGGGTAGCCTCTATTCAATTTTCTTTGTTAAAGCAGTCACCAAGTATTTGCTTTTTAAAGAAAATAGCTGCATCAAAATTGTAATTCAAACAGATTTGATAAAACTGCTGTCTTAGAATGCAAAACACCATCTCTGTTACTCCACTCACAGTAGACAGGGCGTAAGCATTGTGCTTCCAACGTGTTGCTGTTTTTGCCACATCACACTGAAATATGATTTTCCTGTTCTGGACAAGAATAGGATCTACAAAAACCTACTCCTAAAGATTTGGGTCCATGAAGTGACATGGACTGGTGGAATGGCTGTACTTTGAATCATAAAAGGCCAAAGGCTTATGAAACCACAGTTTGAAGTTACATTATTTGTTTTCAAATGTAACTATGTTTTCATTATTTGCCTAGTGGCAACTTTTGTCCTATGGATATCTTCTGAAAACTAGATTGTGAGATAGCAGGAATGAGAGTAGGGGTGGGGTTTGTTTGTTTGTTTATTTGCTTTTGAGATGGAGTCTCACTCTGTTGCCCAGGCTGGAGTGCAGTGGTTCGATCTCAGCTCACTGCAACCTCTGCCTCCCAGGTGCAAGCAATTCTCCCTGCCTCAGCCTCCCAAGTAGCTGGGATTATATGCGCCTGCCACCACACCCAGCTAATTTTTTTTTTTTTTGTTTTTTTTTTTTTGGTATTTTTATTAGAGATGAGATTTTGCCATGTTGGCCAGACTGGTCATGAACTCCTGACCTCATGTGATCCACCCACCTTGGCCTCCCAAAGTGCTGGGATTACAGGCGTGAGCCACCAGGTCCGACCTTATTTTTTATTTATTTTTATTTTTTGAGATAGTGTTTATCTCAGTATCTCCCCCAGTGCCAAGCACAGACGCTTTACACATAGTGAGCATTCAGGAAATGTTTACGGAGTTGAATTAAACTTATTGGTATATAAGGGTAGTGTCTCAAGTATATTCCTCTGGGTTCTTTAGTGTTACATCTTAACTGTCTATGTGTAAGTGTTGAAGTAAAAGATTTGGTCTGAAGTAGCCTAACTGGGGATGTCTACACATCATCCAGTCCCCCACTTGCCAGAAAGGATACTGAGTTGGAAGGAGGAAAGTTGGGTTCTAGATTGTTAGTTGCCAATCTAGATACTTGGCGTTCTATGAAAAATGATAGTAGCTTCTGAATAGACATTTCTTCAAAGAAGATACACAAATAAGGCGCATATAAACAGTATATGAAAGATGCTCAAGTCATTAGTCGTCAGGGAAATTCTAATCAAAACCACAAAGATACTGTAGCTACAATAGCAAATATTGTCCAGGATGTATGCATTGCTGGTGGGAATGTAAAATGGTGCAGTTGCCATGATAAATTTAGGTAGTTCTTTTAAAAGTTAAATAGAATTACCATATGAGCAGCCATTCTGCTAGTTATAAACTCAAAAGACATTACTAAACATTCAAACATCAAAATAACTAGTGAAAAAAAAAGTGATTAAATTCAAAAAATCTGAAGAAAATGCCAAGGAAAGTAAGATAAAAAGCATTAGCAAAAATAGAAACAATTAGACAATGGGACTCAGTAAATCAGAAGAATATAAGAGGGCTGGTTCAAAACAGTAGATGAATTTGTAGGACATACCAGGAGGAAAATAAGAAAGCAAAAATGCATAGATATGTTGCTATGAGAAAGGTTATATACCCAGAAATAGAGAAAAGTTTTTTTAGATTGTAAGAGATTATTACTTATACCATACCCAAAAAATTTAAATTGTAAGTGCATGATTTCTGGAAAAATAATTATGAAATTTAACCTAAGACAAAATGTGAATAGACCAACAACCATGGAAGAAATTGAAGTCATTGTTAAGAGATCTCTTCCAAAGGGGAATGATATGACTGGTTTTTTTGTTTTGTTTTGTTTTGTTTTAGACAGAGTCTCACTCACTCTGTTGCCCAGACTGGAGTGCAGTGGCACGATCTTGGCTCACTGCAACCTGCACCTTCCAGGTTCAACTGATTCTCCTGCCTCAGCCTCCTGAGTAGCTAGGATTACAGGCACGCGCCACCAAGCCCAGCTAATTTTTGTATTTTTAGTAGAGACGGGGTTTCACCATATTGGTCAGGCTCGTCTCGAACTCCTGATTTCGTGATCCGCCTGCCTCGGGCCCCCAAGTGCTGGGATTATAGGTGTGAGCCACTGCACCCTGCCGATACAACTGTTTTATAGTTGAGTATAGTTTTAGTTTTTAAGTAACATGATTCCCACACTAAACTGTTCCAGCATATAGTCAAAAATGGCAAATTCCAAGTCAATGGTACGAAACTGATATAATTCTGAGAAACCTTGAGAATGCCACTCCCTGAAAAAGAGGTCCACAGGCAAATAGAAGCAATAATCCTGAATAAAATACAAATTAAACCCAGACGTCAAGGACCACTACACCATGTTTCAGTAATGTTTATTCTAAGAAACCAAAGATGAGCCAGGCACTATGGCTGACGCCTGTAATCCCAGCACTTTGGGAGGCCACGGCGGGCAGATCATCTGAGTTCGGGAGTTCCAGACCAGTCTGGCCAACATGGTGAAACCCGGTCTCTACTAAAAATATAAAAGTTAGCCATATGTGGTGGCCCATGTCTGTAATCCCAACTACTCGGGAGGCTGAGGCAGGAAAATCACTTGAACCTGGGAGGTGGAGGTTGCAGTGAGCTGGTATCACGTCACTATACTCCAGCCTGGGCAACAGAGTGAGAATCTGTCTCAACAACAACAACAAAAACAAACAAACAAACACACACACACACACATAATGCTCATTGAGGACAGAGCTCTGGATGCTTGCAATGCACCTATAAAAAACAGGAAGAGGGCTGAGCGCTGTGGCTCACGCCTGTAATCCCAGCACTTTGGGAGGCCGAGGCAGGTGGATCACTTGAGCTCAGGAGTTCAAGACCAGCCTGGGCAACATGGCGAAACCAGTCTCTACAAAAAATACAAAAATTAGCCCGGCATGGTGGTGCACCCCTGTAGTCCTGGCTACTTGGAGGCTGAGGTGGGAGGATTGCTTGAGCCCAGGAGACAGAGGTTGCAGTAAATGGAGATCGTACCACTGCACTCCAGCCTCCAGCCTAGGAGACAGAGCAAGACCCTATCTCAAAAAATAATAATAATAAAATTAATAAACAGGATGGGGTGAGGCAGGGAGAGCATTGGGAAGAATAGCTAATGAATGTTGGGCTTCATACCAAGGTGATGGGGTGATCTGTGCAGCAAACCACCACGGCACATGTTTACCTATATGCACATCCTGCACATGTACCCCTGAACTTAAAAGCTGAAGAAAAAAAAGCGAAGATGATCATCCTCCTCAAAACTAACCTACCCTCACAAAACTAATGAAAGCCCACCAAGTTAGGTGAATGAGAGTGGCCTGAATTCAACCATTATTGTGGAGGTCATTAATTTGCAACTTCCCCAATTACTCCTGTAAATAACAGCACCGTTGTAAAAATGAAGATTGGCTTTTTGAGATGTCCTTTCGGGCTCACTTTTTCACCTACGCTGGAGTGCAGTGGCACAATCTTGGCTCACTGCAGCCTCTGCCTCCTGGGCACAAGCAATTCTTGTGCCTCAGCCTCCTCAGTATCCGGGACTATGGGCATGCTCCACCACACCCGGCTACTTTTGTATTTTTAGTAGAGAGGGTTTCACCATGTTGGCCAGGCTGGTCTAGAAATCCTGACCTCACATGATCTGCCCGCCTCGGCCTCCCAAAGTATTGGGATTACAGGTGTGAGCCACCACGCCTGGCTAACATGGAGAATTCTGATGCCAGACTGATTTGTTCTTGATATTTTTTAAGTCAGTCTCTATAAGAGTTCTCATTTATATTTAAATTTTAGTATTTTCATTAGGATAGGTCTCTGAGCTAATTGAACAGTATTACCCTGATAAAAAATTTTATTAAATTACATTTTTTGAGATGGAGTCTCATTCTGCTGCCAGGCTGGAGTGCAATGGCATGATCTCAACTCACTGCAAGCTCTGACTCCCTGGTTCAAGTGATTCTCCTGCCTCAGCCTCCTGAGTAGTTGG